AGAAGAACAAACCACATGGAAGATTGGGAAGAGGAAAGGGGGGGGGGGGAGGATTTGAAGAGGGGGAGGCGTTTTGTGCTGGAGGGAAAAAAATTTGGGGGGGGTGCGAACCACTGCCAGATTTCTCTATCAAACATGCACTCACACACATAAATACACCCACATGTAAGCACACACACACACACCCACCTAGCGTTTTGAAGTGCACAGCCCTACACCTCCAGGAAAAGCACATCCCATATCTGCTGCTTTGCTTTTATTCCACCCCGTACAGCAGTAACAGATACGATTAGTGGGGTTTAATGAGCTCTGTGGAGATGAGGGTTCTGCTCGCCGATTCACAGCTGCCGGGCCCCCGGGGGGGGTTCAGTTCCACCAAGCCAGCGATGTGTGCTTTCTCTCCGCCTGCACCATCTCTCTGTCTTCATCCCCACCGTGAAAATTTCATGTGGGTATCGGCGGCAGGGTGGCGTTACGTGGATTTGCGGCTGCATAATGTGTCGGCACGTATCCGCCGTAGAAAGATAACGTGTTATTTAATCGTGAAAGGTAAAATCTCTCCCGTGACATATTGTGCCTTATCAATTTGTCATGCAGGAATAATTAGCATTTTTTCAAAAACAAACGTGTAAGGGTTTTTTTTTTGATACTTTAGTAAAAATTAACATGGGAAATATATTTATAATTATGCCAACTGTCGTCCTTGCTAATGATTATAATCATAATGAACTGCTTTTAATTAAAAGACTGCCCTTCTGATATTATATTACACATAAACATTCAGTAATACATGGTCGATTTTATTTATTTGATTGCGTTTTTAGAGGTTTCACATTGTTATAGAGACCAGATTTTCATAATTATGCATGTCGTCTACCAAGAAACTTGCAGTCCTACAAATGTGAAGAACAAATCTGTACATGCATCTTATTACAATTTATTGCAATGCTTTATATAAATTGTCAGGGAGCCAAAACATAATTGTCTGATCAAAGATTTCCATTTTTTTTTTTTTTAATTTTCATTCATCTTGTGGTGCGACAAAATGATGCAAGAGCATGTTATTCACTGTTTTATCTTGACTTTTGCCAATAGGGGGCAGTATTGGATAGCACTGGTAATGGCTTGTCCTCTCAGGAACAGTTTGGAGTCAAAAAACTAAAATGTTATGACTGCCACAAAATATAATCTTTTAAAGTCTGTCGTTTTTATTTTTTCTTGACCTCTTGAAATGTTTTTTTGCGATGTTTTTCATGCGTTTCTTCTGTAGATATTATTCTACAGATCTGGTTGTTTGAATTTTGCAACTTAGATTTGAGCTTATGTATGGTGGGGGAAAAACTGTAAAACCATTGTGAAAGGTATTAGCTTTCACAATAGACGTGGCTGTTAAATACAATGATGTAAAACAAAGTCTATCAAGACAATTAAAGCTGTTTTACTTCAACATATTTTTTAGTAGAAAATGTTGAATGACCCTTCAGAAATAAAACATTTAGCATCTAAGTATTCCGTTTTGTTTTGATATGTTGACCGAACAAACTGAGGTGATCGGTTAGCCAGATTTATTTTTTGTGCATTTTCTAAACGTACAATTGAACGGCTATAAACTCTACGTCCTACGGCAGCAGGTTCACTTTTGGCAGTGCACACCTGAACCGATATAAACGATGACATCATCTGCAAGAAGAAAGTAATAATTTCTCCAAGTTTTTTGTTTTATCTCTCAACTCTGATTGGTTGTGCACCTTTTTCTGTTTGGTGTAATGAAATGAGAACATATTAGCACTCGGTCCTCAGTTCTTTGTAATTGGGTGAATTGACGTTTGTGTTCAAAATATTCAAGTAAAATAAATGACATGAAGTTCAAATTTAAACTTTATAGATATTCTTTTTCTTTGTACAGACCTTTCAGCCTATGCCTCTGGCTCTCTGTCATTAGTTTCATATTTGCTGAAGGCAAGCTGCAGGTGAAATCTATTTTGGGCTTTACATGAAGATGCAGAATGACACTCTCTATAGTTTGTTGTATTTTCCATTCTTGTTGAAGGCGGTGACATCTTTTGGATCTCTAGTCGCCAGTGTTGCCACAGTTACCAAACAAGTTATCTGTACTTGTTTTAAAAGTAACCTAGTTGCAGTGCTGACTACTTCATTTTAAAAATAATTAAGTTACAAGAAATTTCAATGTCCATTAGCACATTTGTGCAAAGATTCCCAATACCTTTTGTTGTACATCTTATAATACTGATTGTGCTGCATTCAGTTGATTAATACTTGGCCAATTAACTTACACTTTTAGATCATACAGTTGTAACTTGTTGCTTCAGAGGCTTAGTGATGACCAGAAAGGCAATCATTGTTGGATAATCAATATGTAGGGTAAAGGTCAGCATTTCAAGGGTTATGGTTCATTTAAACAAAATAGTGGTATTGATTTTGGCACACAGTGCAGCTTTTTGTGATCAATGACCATAGATTTTAATTTGATCGATATGTTGTACTTTGCGTTAATGTTATATACCCTGTTGAAATTGCTTTCATGTTATTCGCAGTGAAGAAAATCTGATTTTCAGAATCACATTTCAACGATTTTATTGTCTTTACGTTTTAGGTCACGTGATTTGCTGCAGATTTCCAAAGTGCTGTAAAGAAATGCAAGACAAAAATCAAGAAATCCTGATTTATGTTTGCCCGTTTAACTACTTGTGGCTAAAGTTAGCTACTTTAATGAATGTTTTTGATTTTCATTTTGTCTAATGTGTCACTAAATAAAAAGGAAATAAAGTTGAGGCCAACCTAGAGACATTTTCTTGCCTAATTGGCTTATATTTGGATAAATTAAAATACAAGCTGCAAAATGTTATGACAGCCATATAATCCATGTAAGCCTCTTGTTTTTTTTTTTTGTTTTTTTTTATCTTGACCACTTGACATGTTTTTTTGCAATGACATCTTTATCTCGTATTTCTTCTGTTCTAATGTTTCAGACTAACATTAGATATATTTGAGAAGAAGCTTGCCATTTATCTCTTTGTCATTTTTTTGTCTGTAATTTGCTGTAGACAAGTCGGTGCAGTGATTAGTTTTAAGATGAAGTGGACTGTGTAGGTGAACCTAATATGCAGCGTTCTCCAGCCTACTGTCACAAGGGGAGAGGAACTGATTACCATATTGGACCGTTTTGTTTTGCTTTGCAGCCAAGTGGTTGAAATGTTGCAGGCTCTCGGTGTCATTTTTCTTTGCGTTCAACATTTCACCTTTCTGTGAGATGTTCTTTGATTTCCAGTCTTGCCAAGTAGAGGGCACTGTGATTGTGCAGTAAGAATTGCACCCCTCAAATCCCGACTGAAACCGGATCCACACGCATTCTGCTGTTATGAATTGGTGAATTAATGCTGATATCCCATAAAAAGTGAATATGTGGCATTTTGCCTTTTAATCAGCCCAAATTAAATAAAAATGAAATGAAGCTGAGGCCGAATCTCCCACTTGTGCACGTTCTACGGTCCATCTTTTATGACTAAAGAGATTTATCAGACACTCGGACTGACTAAAGTGTCTTGAAATTCAGGCGACAAACGCCCCTGCTCACATATTCATTACTCTGACTTCTGCCCGACTCTCACCTTGGGGAGGGACACGGGCTTCCTCTTCAGGTCCTTCGTTTCCTTCTTATCTGTGCTGCCTTCAATCCCAACTTGTCAAATTTCCTCCTCGGAGCTTGTTTGCTTGGAAATGTCAGCCGTAGCGGTGATAGAATTTTGTTGTTGCGCAACACATTAATCTAGCCTCTCTCACAGTCTCCCATTTCTCTCGCTCTCTCTCGCTCTCTCTCTCTTTCTCTCTCCCTCTCCCTTTCTCTTTGTTTGTCTGAAAGAGGCTTTACATTTGCATCCTGAAAATACCTTATCCAGCTGCTTGGCCTCAAATCATCCTACTCACTGGGATTAGGCAGGTTGCATTTCGTTATTTGGCAGAAATGTGCCAGCGGAGGATTGTTTTTAGCGAGACATAATGGATTTAATGGCTCAAAGTTTGCATAAAATCACCTCTGGACAGATGGCCAATCTTTAAACCTCCTTTCTGACTGACATGGCTAAAACTTTAGAATAATGTAAATGCTGGAAAGAAGTGGGATGATGGATAATGACACTTGAGGGGTTAGCGTAGCAACTCATGTAAAATTCAAAAGATGTTCGCTAAACCCCCGCAAAGATATGGAAAAAACCCGTTCCTCCACGCCTTCGTCTATCCTGAATTTCCACCAGAAATATTTGCCGTGACCCTTCGCAGACCAGAGGTCACTCAGTGGTAAATGGGAAGTGTGTTTAGGAAGTGTGTATGAGAGGGAAAGGGAGAGAGAGAGGGAGGGGGGGGCAGGAAGTACAGTAAGGGTGGCGAGTTTTTAATGAAGGAGAGGAAACCTGGAAGGAGAGGTTTGCCAGGGACACACATGGGAGAGAACAGGAAAACAAAAACAGGATGGCTCTCAGGCTGAAGTGGAACATTCTGAACCAGAGATCATGTCGGTGACAGCAGAAAACTAGCTTGTTGTCGCTGTTGTTTCTGTGCCATAAGATGTTCACAATACATTTACAGAAATACAAGCAAGAAAGACAGTTTTGTTTTTTTTTTTTTTTTTTCTTTCGCAGCATGGTGCTCGTAAACATCCCTGGATTAGAAACAAAAGCTGTAATAAAGAAAAAAAAACATAAAGTCAGTATATATGATTTTTATGTCCGTGTCTCCCTGTAGCTGTGCAGTCGCTGAACAGTCTGAATGACCAGATTGCAAGCTTTATGGTGACCAGGCCCAAATCCCTGGAACAGGAGGAGCAGGCCTACTCTCCTCCGGAGAAGGAGACGCTGCAGAAGTCCATGAACCTGATGAGGCACCTTCTCGTCGATGCTCAGGTACAAATTTAATTTTTTATTTTTTTTTCTAGAATTAAAAAAAGGAGGCAGGTGGTAAAAGTAATTTGCAGATTTTTTTGACTCAAATCCAAATCTATACAAAAAAAATCTCCCCTTTTTTTTTTTGCATTTTGTCATCTTGTAACCTCAAGCTTAAGTGTAAATTATTGGGATTAAAGAGGGAAGATTATCATCCATGCTTGTTTGGCTGATACAAAGTAGTGCATTGCTGCAAAGGGGAAAATGATTCATAGATCCAGATTTATTTTGTAAGTAAAAATCACAAAAGTGTGGCATGCAGTAAGGTTTAGATCAACACATATTAAAATTATTCCAGTTTGGTCAGTAGGAGGAAGCTACAGTAGCATGTTATGCAATAGATTATCAAGTAGTTTCAGCAGTGGTGCAAAAAGTGGGTATGCAGCGCATGCAACGCTTAGGGGCGCTGCACCAGAGGGGGCATCAAAACCTCGTCTGGAGGGGGCGGCGCGCCGATGATGCCCTCGCATCCACTTCAGCGCGCCTTACGCTCCTTCACCTCGCGCACATAACGGGGTAAATGTAGCAAGTTTTACCTTTCACGTGTCTTTGTCTCAGGGGGGCGGGGAGGGTAGAGCGAGCGTATGTTTTCTACTCTCCTTCACCCTGACGCATCCACCTAAATAATATGTAGTTGCGACCCTGGGTTTCAGGGCTGTGCTTTGATATGTTCTATTCTTTTAGTTGGTTGTATATTTAGAGCTGCCGTCATTCTGGATAGTTAATAAGCTGCTTAATATTCCGTGGAATAGTTCACTTAGTTAATGTCTGATGTTTGAATCTGATTATGATGGGGTTTCTTTAAATGCAGATGAGGCACTTCACAGCCTCCATATTCTCACAAAGGCTTCATTGGATTAAACTTAAGCCATTTTCCTGTTAAAACTAGTTGGATAGTGTCGGTTTTAAAGAACAAAAGTCTACAGGACGTTCAAATGTGTCAAATTATGGAGAAAAAAATGATTAGTTTGTGTTAAATTGTAAATTTAGTTTTGTATGAGCACATCACATGCTTCATTTTGCATCAGTGCAAACTCTTTCTGAAGGTATGCAATTATGTTTATAAAGCCTTTCAAGTCAGTGTGTCAAATTAAATGAAAATGTCGACTGTAATGAGATGAAACGACAAACTCACACTTCCTCCAGTTTGCCAATTTATTATTTTTGGCAGTGACAGGTCTGCTACATCCACCACTCTTCTAGCGACTCCTGCAGGTGTCGGCTTTGTTGTGATCTCCCGGCCACCACGGACGGCAAACTTTTAATTGAAACTCCCGTCATGTCCTGTCGGCTCAGAAAAATTAATTATCCGATGCATTAATTGCCCAGGTGAGAAGCTGAAGGAGAGCAGAAAGTGTTTCTGCAATTTTGTTCAGCTGCTTTCCGCTGATAAGTCAATTAGCTGAATCGCAATTACAGCGTGAAAGAATGAAATGGGGTGATGCCATTGTCTTTTCCTCGGTTTTCTCCTCATGTTTCATGCTTGTTATGGCTGATTAGTTTATATAACCTTTGTTAGGAAGGGCGGCTAAAAAGGAGGACATGAAACTCCAGATTCCTGAGAGATTAAATTAGTGGAGGGGGGATTCATCAGATGTAAGTGGCAACGTGTGATTGAGTTGTTCTCCTTTTAATACGCATGAATTTGTTTTCTTTGTGTTGCAGCGTCGATCCTTTTCAAAATGATTTTGATAGTAAATCTGCTGCACAACGGCGACATTGGAAGGCATATAAACTGTGTTGTTCTGCTATTTAAAAAAAAATGCTGCCTCAAAAACAAACAAACTTCTCTATTCATTATCGTTGAACGTTACAAAACAGTTTTGGTCTCAGTCAATTGAAAATCAACTGCAGGCCTGAAGACGAGGCATGCAGAGACTACTGAGTGACTGCTGGTGACCCTGAATGCTCCTTCCTATTTTCACCTTATCAGTGTCACTCTTTCATTCTTCCTCCAAAAGACAGGTAGCCACGGTGGCTGTTAATTTACTCTCTCTCAGGTATTCCGCCTGCAGTCTTTCTCCTCTGAGCATCATTCTTCTCGTGCAGGTAATGTGTCATCAGCCAGTGTCAATTGGCATTCATGCCCTTTTGGTTTCCTCAAATCAAACGGCTCCATGGAATATTAAGCAGCTGGTGTCTCGATGACGAAACAATTAAAAGGCTGTGTAGTTCGCAGTGCCCAGCCTCTTCTATGGGGGCTGTGTCGATGGTGTAAAAAGAAAAGATACACGAATAACGGCAACGAGACTGAGATGAAACTAAATGATTTATAATGATTCGTAATAGGTTAATTGGTTTCTTAAATTGCTTTTAGGTGAGAGTGTGTGTGTGTGAATGGTTGTGTGTCCTGTGGGTCTCTGTGTTCCCCTGTGATGGACTAGTGACCCGTCTGGTGTGTATTCAGCTCAATGACCTCTAAATGTAGCTACCAGCCCCACTGACGCTCTGTACGGATAAGTGCGTATAGACGGACGATTCATAATGATTATTATGAATTTAGCTCTCCTTTAATTATGACACAGATTCAAATAGCTGGCCATTTACAAGCTTTACAGTAATGTTAGCATGAAGCTCATGGACGAGCCTTGATGCAACAATTCCGTACACAGGTTAGATTTTCCTCCTTTTTTTCCCCCCTGATGCAGGAACGTCGCATTAAAATGTCAATTTGGTGTAACGGAGCCATTTAGCTCTAGATCTTTAATTTTATTTTTTTTTAATAGTCTTCGTAAGTGGAGTTCCTAACTTCTATGCTGCCCCTCACTGAAGTCCAGAATCATAAGGCACCCCACTGACCAAACTGCGTGATTAAAACACATTCAGAGTCTTAAATCAAATCTCTCCATCTCGAACTGGAGCCTCCTGACGCACCACTGGAGTTTATTTACTGCTATTGTCCGTCTGGCCATGGCTCACTGCAGAGCTGCTTCACGTGGATCCTCCATCCACACCGAAGGCCCATCTGGTGTGTATCCTCCAGTCAAGCTGGGAGGAGATGGGCTGCTGAGCATTTTCTACCGACCCTCCCTCTATTTCTCTTCCCCATGCTGTACTCAGCTGCGACTGCATTAGTTGAGCTGTCAGTCATCACGGGTGGGGGGAGCGGGATTCCTCTGAGGAGGGGAGAAGGGTGCGGTTTGGGCACAGGGGGTGTGCAAGGAGGCCGTTTAAAGGTGACTTTGAGAGCCACGAAGAAGAGACGGAGATAAATAAGATCTGTCTGACCCCCTGCAACCTCCACTTCACTTTAATCATGAGTGGAGAGCTGCAGACACGGCTGTCGACTCGGAGAGAAAAAAAAAACAAAAAAACAAAACCACTAAAACAAATAAGACGCCGTATTTGTGTCTGGCAGATATTCATTTACCAAAAATGGTAGCCTTGAGAACAATTGCAGCAGATGATCGATACTGCTTGGAAGGAAATTTTCCAAGGGAAAAAAAAAAAAAAAAAAAAGGTTGCTGTTTTATTTTTTTTATTTTTTAAATACATATTGAGCGTACTGCAAATTGATTTTCTTAGCTTGACCATTCTTAGAGGATCAATATCAGAATGCTGTGACATGGTTACAGTTATATTCCTCTGCCAAACATTATCCTAAAGCTCCATAAACCAAACAAAATCCAGTTAAAAATCCAATTCAGGACTTTTGAAACTGATGTTTACATAGTTATTTTTTTAGACGTGCAGCGCTGGTAGAGGCATAACCCACAAGACTACCACTTCGATTTGTTGAGGATTTTGGTTGCAGTTTGACAAATTGAAAAAGTTAAAGGCTTATGAAATTAAATGCATGAGATGAGAGATAAGACTAAACGCTAATGTCTGACTTACTCGTTGGTTAGCCGATGGCTCTGGATTCGTGCCGTGAGTCGTGGAGGAGCACAAAGAGGAGGCAGCAGTCTCACTGGGTGGAGGGGGGGAGTAAATGTGTGACGGGTCTGGCTGGGTCAGTCTGGCTCTCTCTCCTCCTGCGGCCTCAGATGGCCCATCGGAGCACGTTTCTTTTACCCATGCATAATGCATCACCCGGGTTCCATCTGCCCTCTCAGCCTGTCCTCTGACTTCGCAGACCTGTATTAAAAGCCTCTCGTCCAATCACCGGCGAGGCACAGAAGCAAACGCGCATCATCATTGTCGCCTGGTTCAATCCTAAAGTGTGACAAATGAGGGTGAAATTTGGTAATTTGGTTCAAAAGGAGCCTTTCTTCTCTTTCAGCTACAACTGAAAGGAGTCAAAGTTTATGTTTCACTGTCCTTAGGGTTAGGGTTTTGAGATCCTACAATTAGCTCAAAAACATATCAAAGTGTTGGTGAATTTTTTGGGCTTTTAAAATATTTCTAAACAGAGGCTGCACTAAGAAGGTCGTTTAAATCTCTGTTGTACATATCTGCTTTCTTGTACTCTTTNAAGCTTGCCATTTATCTCTTTGTCATTTTTTTGTCTGTAATTTGCTGTAGACAAGTCGGTGCAGTGATTAGTTTTAAGATGAAGTGGACTGTGTAGGTGAACCTAATATGCAGCGTTCTCCAGCCTACTGTCACAAGGGGAGAGGAACTGATTACCATATTGGACCGTTTTGTTTTGCTTTGCAGCCAAGTGGTTGAAATGTTGCAGGCTCTCGGTGTCATTTTTCTTTGCGTTCAACATTTCACCTTTCTGTGAGATGTTCTTTGATTTCCAGTCTTGCCAAGTAGAGGGCACTGTGATTGTGCAGTAAGAATTGCACCCCTCAAATCCCGACTGAAACCGGATCCACACGCATTCTGCTGTTATGAATTGGTGAATTAATGCTGATATCCCATAAAAAGTGAATATGTGGCATTTTGCCTTTTAATCAGCCCAAATTAAATAAAAATGAAATGAAGCTGAGGCCGAATCTCCCACTTGTGCACGTTCTACGGTCCATCTTTTATGACTAAAGAGATTTATCAGACACTCGGACTGACTAAAGTGTCTTGAAATTCAG